AGAAGTTTCCACGATCTAGATCGAAGTTTCCAAGATCTAGATCGAAGTTTCTAAGATCTAGACCGAAGTTTCCAAGATCTAGATAGAAGTTTCCAAGATGTAGATCGAAGTTTCCAATTTTCCCTAGAACTCACAAGTCAATTTTTAATGACACACTAACTTCAATAGAACAAAAGTCGAACAAAATATTGCTGTTAAAAAATTGCTGTCAGCTTTAACTAAATTATGACTCCTACCGGCGCAATAAGCTTTACTTATCCAATCCGAAAAAGCGAAAAAAATTTTGCTACATTTTTTTAGAAAAATGTCTAGTGTTTACAGAGTTGCATTATTTATAGAAGTTACATAAAAATTGTTCTAAAAGGACACGATTCGTATTTCCATTTGTAATCTTGTGATGTTCACCCGCTATTAATTGACGAGAAAACTTGCATTAAAGAACAGCGGTCATATAAATATAAGAATATTTAAAAATTATAACGTTACTCAGTATGGCGGAATAATCTTACGGTCTACTGTGATCGCAACTTCGCAGCTGTGTTTATTCGAGTATTTTTTAGATGCATTACATATACAAAGGTCACAAAACTGTCTATTAAGTATGCCGTCTTTGCCCCAGGTCTCCAGGTCTTTGCCCCAGGTCTCCTGGTCTCTGCCCCAGGTATCCAGGTCTTTGCCCCAGGTCTCCTGTATGCCGCCTTTGACCCCAGGTGTCTGCCCCAGGTCTTCACGACGCCTCTAGTCTTCAATATGGCGGGCTGAGGCCTGCGGTGGCCGCCTTCTCCCTGAGNGCTGCCCCCTGCACCCCTCACCCCCGTACCAGGCAGCTGCCCCCTGCACCCCTCACCCCCGTACCAGGCAGCTGCCCCCTGCACCCCTCACCCCCGTACCAGGCAGCTGCCCCCTGCACCCCTCACCCCCGTACCAGGCAGCTGCCCCCTGCACCCCTCACCCCCGTACCAGGCAGCTGCCCCCTGCACCCCTCACCCCCGTACCAGGCAGCTGCCCCCTGCACCCCTCACCCCCGTACCAGGCAGCTGCCCCCTGCACCCCTCACCCCCGTACCAGGCAGCTGCCCCCTGCACCCCTCACCCCCGTACCAGGCAGCTGCCCCCTGCACCCCTCACCCCCGTACCAGGCAGCTGCCCCCTGCACCCCTCACCCCCGTACCAGGCAGCTGCCCCCTGCACCCCTCACCCCCGTACCAGGCAGCTGCCCCCTGCACCCCTCACCCCCGTACCAGGCAGCTGCCCCCTGCACCCCTCACCCCCGTACCAGGCAGCTGCCCCCTGCACCCCTCACCCCCGTACCAGGCAGCTGCCCCCTGCACCCCTCACCCCCGTACCAGGCAGCTGCCCCCTGCACCCCTCACCCCCGTACCAGGCAGCTGCCCCCTGCACCCCTCACCCCCGTACCAGGCAGCTGCCCCCTGCACCCCTCACCCCCGTACCAGGCAGCTGCCCCCTGCACCCCTCACCCCCGTACCAGGCAGCTGCCCCCTGCACCCCTCACCCCCGTACCAGGCAGCTGCCCCCTGCACCCCTCACCCCCGTACCAGGCAGCTGCCCCCTGCACCCCTCACCCCCGTACCAGGCAGCTGCCCCCTGCACCCCTCACCCCCGTACCAGGCAGCTGCCCCCTGCACCCCTCACCCCCGTACCAGGCAGCTGCCCCCTGCACCCCTCACCCCCGTACCAGGCAGCTGCCCCCTGCACCCCTCACCCCCGTACCAGGCAGCTGCCCCCTGCACCCCTCACCCCCGTACCAGGCAGCTGCCCCCTGCACCCCTCACCCCCGTACCAGGCAGCTGCCCCCTGCACCCCTCACCCCCGTACCAGGCAGCTGCCCCCTGCACCCCTCACCCCCGTACCAGGCAGCTGCCCCCTGCACCCCTCACCCCCGTACCAGGCAGCTGCCCCCTGCACCCCTCACCCCCGTACCAGGCAGCTGCCCCCTGCACCCCTCACCCCCGTACCAGGCAGCTGCCCCCTGCACCCCTCACCCCCGTACCAGGCAGCTGCCCCCTGCACCCCTCACCCCCGTACCAGGCAGCTGCCCCCTGCACCCCTCACCCCCGTACCAGGCAGCTGCCCCCTGCACCCCTCGTCCTCCTGCACGATGTACTTGGAGAAGCTGTCCAGGATCACGACGGTGTCCTGGGAGCTCCAGCGCAGGTACCTGCGAGGGGACTCATGTTAGTGGCGTGTGTGACTATATTGCTGCAGTATGGACATCATTAATACGGCCACCATTAATACAGCCTCCATTAATACAGCCACCGTTGATACAGCCACCATTAATACAGCCACCATTAATACAGCCACCATTAATAGAGCCACCATTAATACAGCCACCATTGATACGGTAACCATTACTTTACTATACCACCTTTATATAATACAATACCATTACGGCCACCATAAAAACCACAATTAATTGGGTTAAGACTGCAGCATCATTTATACTACCATTGATGTGGTGAATAATTCAATTGTACCAATAATAACGTAGCAATAATGCAGCCATTACTGTAGCCTGCAGTAACTGTCAACACTGCCTCACCTGCGCTTGCCTGGCCTGCAGTAACTGTCAACACTGCCTCACCTGTGCTTGCCTGCCCTGCAGTAACTCACTGCCTCACCTGCGCTTGCCTGGCCTGCAGTAACTGTCAACACTGCCTCACCTGCGCTTGCCTGGCCTGCAGTAACTGTCAGCACTGCCTCACCTGCGCTTGCCTGGCCTGCAGTAACTGTCAACACTGAGGGCCTGCGACAGCCTGCGGGCGCCGCCGCGTTTGCCGTGCCGAGAGAAGATTGGATGCTCGAAGAAGTCCTCCGAGAGCAGCACGCTGCCGCTCCCTGCACCAAACATAATTAATTAAACACAAAATAAACTTAATTGAAACAATAAACGTTATTCCATTGAATATTCATATCACTTGTTGCCACATAGCAAACAACATCTTGCACAGCACTTATTCTCTATGATTTGTTGTCTTTGTTGCACTAAAATTTTAGGTCAATTTAATGAGTCATCAATTACGTATCTACATTGTCTAAATTTTTGTTCAACAGCAAGCCTTTTTCATGTAATTATATGCTTTTGCATTTAATGCAAAGTAATTTAGCACTTCTACAAATAATGTTCAGTGTCCATGTCGCAGTATTGATGTCAATGAAGTAAGTAAATATCCATAATTTATGTGGCTGATGTAATAATATTAAAATAATAAGTGGCCTTAGTTGCTAGCACTTCGAATAATAACAAAATAATACAGCAAGTAACGTACCTTGGTCCCACCTACCCGACACGGCCTGTGTTCTTGAGAGGTCCTCGATGTAGCTGTCAAAAAAATCAAGCTTGTCGCTGCCCGGGGACAGGACGTCCTCCGCCCCCCCGTGGGGGGGAGACACCCCGTTTTTTGGAGCCTCTAGCAGGTCCTCCTTGAGCTCCTCTGAGCTGCATTGTTCAGAAGATGTGGAAGGTTTATTATTAATATTTTCTGTTGTCAATTCCGTGTTTACTAATGTGTTTTCATTGTGGGATTCAGACTCTGACTTTCTATTTTCAGTTTCAGTTTCATGTTTTTCCTGCAAATTTTCACTTTCACTTGGCTTTTCATTGCAGGAGTTGGTTTTGTTTGGGCAGCTTTTGTCTGCAAGATTAACGTCCTGTGAAAGTTTGGTCTGCGGGTGCAGGGTCTCTGATTCCGAAGTTTCCATGGATGAGTTATTTTCGGTGGGTTTTTCCCCGTTACAGACTAAATGCTCGTCATCCATACTAGTTTTTCTTTCTTTTGAGATATTTTGCGACCCTTCCATTGAACCTGGAATAAATTGTGCTTTAATTAAAAAATTTCATGCTTGGGAAAAATAATGTTTGGTCTCTCCAGTATCATCATGAAGCTGTAAAGCAGATTCCAGCAAATATTGCATGTATAATATCCAAAAATCACGTAAATAATCTTACCAGAATTACAGCATTTTGAATATTGCATACAAAAATTATAAACAAAAGGTACCGAAGTTTCTCAATGTCAGACCTGGAAAAAAATAAAACAAACAGCAAGAGTTTGCCTTCACTCACTTTCTCCAGCATCTAACACTCCATTCTTCAAGGCAGGTGCTGCGTCTTTGGCTTCAGTAGCAGCAGGTAAAGAAATACTGCGCGTGTCATACTTCATACCATTCTGCCAATAGCTTGAAAAACTAGTCTCAAAATTGCCAATTTCTTGCTCTTTCTTGAATATTTCCTTCTTGCAGGCATTGTACCATCCTTTGAGCAAGTGTATACACGATTTGAGTGTTGATTTGAAGAAGTCTTGCTTGGTTTTAGCACTGCTTGTTGATGCAGACATGGTCTCAAGTTTGATGACAGCATCCAGCAGCGGAAGATGACTTGTATGGAACATGTCAATGACTTGAAGTTGTAGCCCAACACTCGCAGCGTATTGATCAAAGTGCGTGTACACATCTGCAATGTTGCGCATGAAAGCCATGGTTTGATATAGACGGTTCTCTTTAGTGTAACCCTTCAAACTCTGAGCCATCTGGCTGCCTAGAAGTATAAGCGTGTCATCCGTCTTACAGATTATATCCACTTCAGAGTCCGTAAAAGCTGGCATCAGTTCACGCTGAAATTCCTCCACAATGGCAACATCGGTGAAAGTGAGAGATGTAGGGTGCACAGCATAGGAGCTTTTTTGATGAGATCCAGGGTAGCCATCATCACCATTGAGATGCGCAGAGCTGGATGATGAGGAAAGATTAGGATATCCACGGCTCATGCCTGTGAGGTATCCACTCTCCCTTATATTTGGCAAAGGAGCAGCGACAGTCTGTGGGTAGGCCTGAGAAGGAGGAGTGCAGTGCTTCTGATGTTCAATGATGTTCTCAAGTTTGGGTATCATGAATGTATCACAACGTGAACACTTAATAGGTTCCTCAGACCTGCCACTGTGGAGTCGAGGTTTGTCGTCATCGCTTGCCTCAGGCATGTCATGGTGGCTCAGCGCCTCTGCACACTTAGGCTCTGGAGCAGCCATTCTCTGTGGCTCATGCCTCGGATGCATGTAGTGCTCCGAGTACTTGGAAGAGGCCTCATAGTCTCGGTGTGAGTATTCAGGATAGGCATTCATTTGTTTAATTTTCTTTGTGTATGAGGAGCGAGCAGCATGACGAGCTCTGTATGCTTCTCTATGAGCCAGCATAATGTGTCTGTTGACGTGCAGGAGGGACTTGGGGCAATAGGGACATTGTTGCTTCACCCGTGACTTGTAGGACCGGCTGTCTGCTCAAACAAAATATGGGTAAATGAAACTATGTTGACTCTTTAATTTGACTTATTATCCTATGTTAGCCTTCAAAATCACAAAAATTTAATTTCTATGCAAATTTGCATGGTCTTATTAGGATCAGAGATTGATTTGACACATGTGTACCGTATATAAATTTCTATTGTATGCCTTGGTTTGAGATAAACAGTCAAAAATCAAGATGAGAACAATTTTAGATTATCTTGGTTACTACTCACTTGTACCCCATGAGAAATGATCATTAGATTATTAAACATGAGAAACATGGATTGAAAATACAGATGTGTATCAGTGGAAATACTCTTAAAGACATCATTCAAAGAATGAGTTAACACATTCCCGCCTATAAGGCAATATGTGTACCAACAATTATATTTCACTGCTGTGTATTGGAACACCAGTGCACCAAACTCAATATTTTACACAGTTTTGATATAACACATAAAACACAAAATTTTGTCAGTAAACTTTCCCTTTTAGAATATTTGGGTTCACACAAAAGGTTGATTTCCAAATCTGGGGAGCATGGATATCATGTTAATCCAGCTGAGCTATCTGAACACGGAAACAACCAACCTTCAATGTCAAAGTCCCTGAAGCCCTTACGAGTTCCATAGGCTCGATCCATTGTAGCAACTTGTCTGAAACAAAGAATTCTCGTCAGTAATATTACAAAACACCCAAAGAAACTAGAACAACTGGAACAATAACCTTAAGTGAACACATCAGTTAAATCACCTGAACTTGAATTGGATATTAAACAACAAAATTCTAAATCTCCTGTGATAATTTTAAGGACAAAAAAACGCACTTGAAGAAATCTTGGCACTGATTTTCAACTATTATCTACTTTAAAAGCCTAGAGATTATTTAGTGGAGAGTTTGAAACAAACTCAAATAGTAATTGGCTGACAAGGCAAGCTATGGAAGCTGAAGTAGGTTCAAGTTTATCTTATGCTCAAGTCCATAGTGACAAACCATAGATTTTTTGGAATCAGTTCATTTTTAATTTCCTCTTTGACTTGAGATTTGAAGCTATTTTTTATGTGCGCTAATGCTGGTATTCACAATGCTTTATTAGTCTACTAATAAGACTCAAAAATAAACTTGAGGGAGAGTTTAAAAAAGTCTCTGATTGGATGCCATGATCTGATAAACAATGTTGATTTCACTACTTTGAAAAATAATGTACAATACAATTGATGGTGCTATTGGTCACCAAATTTAATTTTATAAATAAGTATTCAAAGGGAAATTCTAATATTAACCTTTTAATTTTATTATAAGAATATTTCCATCTTATATATTAATATTTTTATAATTCTTTCCTAAAAAGTCAAAAGAATCACATTGATCAATACTTTGCATAAATTTTTACATACGGTACATTTCATTGTAGAAGTTTTAGTCTAGATTTAGTCTAAAATCCAACTTTGCAATCAGTCAAGCTGATAGAAGAAGTTATGTAGAGACATGAGGCATGAACAATTTTATAATTAAGTTCAAAAAACATATGGTTCAAATATAATTTTTGCATATAGTACACAATTTTATTTTATACTACAGCAATCCCTTGATTAGCACAGTTTTGAATACCGCGGTTTTGATTAATGCGGAAAAAAAATTTGCGATCTACCCTTAATCTACGCGGTGCCAGTTTTGATTAGCGTGACTTTTTTTTCACAACGCATCATTTTCTCGCCTCTAGCCAGAGGTGTTACACTCGTAACAAAAGTATTACTTTTTGCTTATTAGATCTTATGTTGTTACTTTTGTTACAACTTTTGGAAAAATTTGCCTGTTGTTACGTACTTTATGAATTTCAGCCAATAATTCTTTAAATAAGGTCCCGTTCCGTAGGCACTTGTGCTGACTACAGAGTCGGTTTAACCGCGCCTTCCTGCAATTGACCACGAACATGCTTACGAAGAAGATGAAAAGGAGACAGAAGAAAAAGAAATGGCTCATAAAGAAATTTCTAGTAAAAAACTTGCAGAATTACTCACTGCAATTGAAAAAACTAAAGAAATCATAAGAGAATATTGGATTTGTTTTTCAGTAAAAAATAAATGTTAATTCATTTGCATTTCTTTTATTTATTTCCCCTATTATTTAGAAAAAATATGAATTTTAGTGAAAAAAAAATTATTTAACTTTGCTATTTTTGAGGATTCATTATAAATATTCCCATATATTCTTAAGCTTGATTAGCACATTTTTGCTTAACACAGTAAAACTCGGGGATTTATTAACCGCGTTAATCAAGGGATTGCTGTATTCCTATACAATATGCGTTTTTTTTACAACGCTTTACATTATTTTGTATAATTTTATTATTATTTTATATAATTTTATTATGATTTTATATTATTTGTTATCAATATTTACATCATTTTATATTTTATCATAATCTAACATAATTGTACATTATTTTACATTATTTCTTTTGGTTTGTCCAGAGGCTTAAATTTCTGATTTGGTGCTTCAAATCTATTTAACCTTAATCCTATAGGCTCAGGCTTACTTGCTCAATGCAGAAACCTAAGACATTAAGACAAGTTTTTAAAGGAAGGAGTAAGGACTAGTTATAGGACTTACAATCTATTATCATTCATTTATTTCAGGCATGAAATAGGAATAGGCTACACCGTACCTTGTGCCTTACTGAGCAATAATTTAAGCCTTTCCTTCTTCTTTAAAACTACAAGATTTTTTCTAGCTAATGTATATACATATTGAAGATTATTAGGCTAAAATACCTGCTTGGTTTTCCAGAAAGGCTGGTAAGTTTGCTAGTTGAACTATCTACTATTTAATGTTAACACAATTATATACCTGTCTCTTATACACATCTAGATGTGTATAAGAGACAGNATTACAAGACATCCCGCCCTTTAAACAGTCTGTCAGAGGAATTCCAGCTGGCCACGGCGGGTACTGTCTCTTATACACATCTAGTGTTTTGGCAGTATTTTGACGCGCAAATGTATGACGTCACCATTTCAACCATCAACAAACGCATGGAACTAAAACAAAGCTTAATATAAAGGAAAAGCTGGAGAGGTGACGGAATTACCCACAATGTCGGAATATACCGCGTTTACCCTAAATCATAGTGACAAAGCAGAGAGTTTTTTAGACTCTCCCTCAAGTTCATTTTTGAGTCCTATTAGTAGACCAGTAAAGTATCATGGATACCAACATTATCATACTTAAGAAATTGGTTAAAATCTTGAGCAAATGAGGAAATTAAAAATGAACTGATTCTAAAAAAGCTCTAGTTTGCCACTATGCGCCTAAATGAGCACAATTCAACATCAAATTCTGTAATTCATCTATATAAAGTTCATTTTTTCCATTGAAGTTCAAATAAATAACTATGATATTCATGTCATACAGTCAGGCTCATTACTTATATATCCTATTTAGTTGTGTTGTGTTGTGTCAACTTGTGAGTTGTGTGCTGACTCCTGACTGGCTGACTCTTGACTGGACTGCTGACCGCGGGTCAAAAAAAAACTTGACCTGCTGTTTAGTAGATTCGACAACTTTAAAGGAAATAAAATGACAAAAATCATTAATATTAATACTAAGGAATCAGTTGCATCAAGATTTAGAACATTTTTATCAAATTTTGAGCTTATTCAGCGCATTCAACCTTGAACCTACCTGAAAACCGAAACGTAAACAAACCCTGATGCCTAACTCCAATAGACATTCAAATATTATTTGAGTGTCTATATCTTGCTATTATTAGCCGGGTAACGGGTTGAATTCATTCGGAATAAGAAGTATTATCACCTCTACAACATGTTTTTGATAATAAACGCCAAGAATCAATTTCCAACACTGCAAAAATAAAATAATGTGATCGCTCCTATGAGCATTAATTGATCCGGCATATTGGTGACTACAAAGCAATGTACACCAGGATATGGGAATTAAATTTCCTTGAGATCAGTTTTGAGTTGCAAAGAATAATCCCAGATCGATCCATTTTGCATATGTAGCTGAGGTTACGATTCGGCAGTAAGTGCAGTGGCTTCAGCTACCGTGCACGCACATCTGTCAGACTTTTTCGACTGCACAGCTGGGCTTCATAATTTCAACACAAGTTTCCTCGGCCAAAATAAATATAATCTCAACTGAGAATCAACAACCTATTCAAGTTTGATCGGTATACTGTAATCAGTATACTGATCGGGTATAATGTAATCTGAAGCTATGCTGTAGCTTTCTAGCCCATTTCTCTTAATAAAAGCTTAATATCTCCGCACATACAAGACAGATACCAAAAGCTACCACATACATGATAAAAAAAGCTACCATTCGTTGACTCCATTAACAGCTGAATTCAAGTTACCATTGATTTCAAGTAAAAAAAAAAGACCAGTAAAACCTATAGTTATGTCTATGTCGCTCTGCAGAGTTAATTAAACTAAAAATGCAAAAAATGATAGGCAAGTTCACACCGGACCGAAACCGTAACCGACAGGTAAAGGAAGACAATAGATAAAAGAGTACTCATTTTGTTCACATTGATTGTTTTAAAACAACTGGAGTGAATGCTGATCGAAATGGAAAGTTGTTTAATTGCAAAAAGATCCTCGGAAACCCAGCGCACTCATTTTAATGACAATAATAATAATAAACCTAATAATAATAATAATAATGATAATAATAATAATAATTATAATAATAATAATGATGATGATGATAATAATAATAATAATAATAATAATAATAATAATAATAATATGCATACTAATAATAACAATAATAATGATAATATTATAATAATAATGATAATAATAATAGCGTTAGGCCTGTCGCCGACTCAAGTCATCGTCAGTTTAGCTAAAAAAGATCCGGTCGAGGAACATGCTTTCAGATCTCCTGTGGATAAGTCACCAAAAGTGCAAGATCGGCGATAGGCCGCATCAGGCCCATCATTCAGCGCCGACATCACTATGATATGATATGCAAACCGAACATTTACAGCTTGTTGCATGTCTCGAACACGCAACTCACTGCTTTAATATCCTCAGTGCCTAACCGCTCGGCCGCCTCGTCGATTCTGACCACAACTGTCCCAGGTAGCTGGGATCGAACCCTGAACTCACTGCTCTAATCCAGGTACTTCGAACTCTGGTACTCTAATCACCAGGTCTATACAAAAACGCATAAAATTACTTGGACAATATATAACTTTTTAGGAGAAAATTCTATTTTATGCACACTAGATGTGCAATTTCCTTGGCCCAGATGTGGCCAATGGTTACAGTTCAGAGTACCAAGATTGGAGCTGAGAGGTGCGGGTTCGATCCCAGCTCTGTGCGTCTGTTTCTGTTCAGAATCGGCGAGGAGGCCGGGCAATTAAGCACAGCAAAATTGAAGCATTGAGTTGCGTGTTCAAGACCGCAACAAGCTGTAAATGTTCTGCATTGCTCCGAGTATGAACGCCTTCAAAAACAGACTAGACGAAGCTATGCAGGAGCATATGTTCAGTCTTAAAATGCCAGCAACTTCCGGACCAGGCAATAAGTCCAGCAGCTATCTCAGTCAATCGTCAGCTATGGAAAGATCGGGTTCCAAAGTCTGGATCCCTTGTGAATCAAGTCACGAAAAATTCAAGAATCGGCAACAGGCCATGGGCCTATTTCTTCGGTGCCGACACTTCTATTCTATTCTTAGGAATCGGCGACAGGCCTAATGGACGCTGAAACCGCTCTCATCATGAGAAAAGTACTAATAATAATAATACTTAATCTCCACCAATCATTTAATTCCTACTTTATTCCTATTCCTAGAAACTTCTTAATTTGCTCGTACTTAATTATTCGAAAGGTGGAACAAAGTGGTACGGGGGCTTGTCCTGAATTGATAATGTATATATATCCTTTCAAATGTATGATTTTGCCCCCTCCCACTGTCGCAGCTCCCACCGTCCACGGTCGTAGTCTCACAGAATAGATAATAAGATGCATAAAAACATTACTATGCAAAATTAAAGTTTATTTTGAAGTCATCAATTTCCTTTATTGTTTCCTAGCTGAGTATCCCTCCACCGTCTGATAACGCATGCACATTGTACTGATAATGCATTGTACAAAGTGGAAGGAAACGGATATTATACTGTATTAATTTAAATCTCCTGCTTGGAGGTTTTTCATGTCGGTGAAGAATGATTATATCATAATAGGACGCGGGAAAACGTAACAGCAGCAAAGCGTGGAGAAGATTCCTGTAAATTCACTGAAAAAGTACACGAATTAACGGTTCAGTCTAACTATTTACCTTATAAAGGCAAAGATGTATAATACTCCTCGCGAAAATAATCCCTTAAAAACAGAGATGAGTTATACCTTAACAATCAGAGACGTGTTATACCTTAACAATGGGAGGCGTGTTATACCTAAACAATAAGAGGCGTATTATGCCTTAACAATCAGAGACGTGTTATGCCTTTACAATCAGACGTGTTAGTCAAAAGTCAGAGAAATGTCAATCAATCAAAACTTCTAAAATCCACGTACACAAATTTTCGAATGCGGTGTGCTAACGTCGCGTGACTGGGATTGGTCCGCAGTTATGTCGTCTCGGGTGACTGCAATAAATGCCTCGTTGTGTACGCAGTTCTCTACGTCTCTGAATAAATGCCACACCACGTAATTTTTCTACGTAAACTGTGGAGAAAAAGCGGGTCGAGTGAGAAAATTTTAAGCAGCGTCGAGTGAAAATTTCGTTCAATTTTATGGAAGAGCTTGGAGTGACAAACATTATATGCTTTTAGAATCAACGTGCGTGAATCCTCTCGTACAATAGAATTTATATGTGACTTTTGAAATTTTATTTAGCCAAAACTTTATGAAAAGACCAAATGTCATGCCATAGAGCGATCAAACTTTGACGCATTATACTAGGAAAATGTAATTAACTTAAGCCACTAACCATATAACTAATTTCTCTTAGCCTATAAGTAAACCCCATTACGTGACCGTGAATTAAATTAGCTGGACAAAATATAAAATAAAATATAGACATGCCAAGCCAAGAATAAGAAATCAGTGAATGAGTAATACTTCCTCTATAATGCGTTAAGATTACCTCCTAATCTTTGCTCCTCGAGTAGCTCGTGATAACAATTATCTACTTAAGTCATGACGATCGTTGGATCAAAGTCCACCCGTAACATTACTTTCAATTTTTTTCTTCGAATTACTATCCATTACTTATGAGCATACAAGCTTACAATAATATAATGCATTTCTTTCGTGGCCTAAAATCTCAGTTCAGTGTTACAGGAAGTGCTGATGGCTGACTATATATGGGATTCGAACACTTTTATGGCTTCGTTTTGCGCAAGTATTGAAAGAGGTGCAAGCAATCACCTATATTAAATCAGTTTTGTAACTATTTGCTGCTGTAAATAAAATTTAAAATTTATCGATTTTTGTAGATTGTTTGATGGTACGTTGAAAAAATTAAGGCTGGAAACTTATGTCACTTATGTGATCAACGGAATCGAACTCGTCCCAGTTATGACTAGCCAGTGAGAAGTGATTGTTTACATTCGCTATCTGTTATATAGATTCTCAATAAATTATTCCCCAATGATAACAGAGTACGACGTAGGCCTCTGTTCATTGTTCTACTGCTTGTGTCTTGGAAGAAGAGTCTTCCCATCGTCGTTTACAGCAACATTACTCATAAGTTCTGACTTGAACAAACGGACTTGTTCAAAGCCCATTTCTCGCCTATCCCTAGACGAACGTAGTGTCCTAGAGCCAGCCAGCTTATGACGAAGTGCCTAAGTATATTTTATATCTGTTAGCTGTTTCAATATAAAATAAACATGAACGGCCTAAGCATCCGCGACATATGCTGCTTATTCTGCTGGCCACCTTGCCCATCAAGTATAGCCTCAAAGATGGCTTTCATTCCACCTGAACCAACTTACAGTTTCACTCCAGTGGCTGAAGGCAGCAGCAAAATGTCTTTACATCTCACTGAAAAAGCTGAATGGCAGTTCACTGACAAAGAAAAGGAGTGCATTGAAGTGTTCTACACTCGCACCAACAGAGGGAACACAATCTCCTGCATGTTTGTGAGGTGTTCTCCCACAGCTCGCTACTGCATCCTCTTCTCGCACGGCAACGCTGCTGATCTTGGGCATATGAGCAGCTTCTATCTTAGTTTAGGCACTCGTATTGACTGCAATATATTCAGCTATGATTATTCAGGTAAGTCAATGTCTTTTATAAGATTTTCAAATGATAATATGTAATTTATCAAGCCAAATTTATTACTATTGTGGTAAAGATAACAGAAAAGTATTCTCTGTATTCTATGATTAAAATATTTTAGTTATTGATAATGCTAAAATATTTATAATGTAAATTGCTTTTTTGAATAAATTAAAATTTTGTTATTCAATTACATTGTTTAAGTTTAATGAGCAATTAGATAGGAGATAATTCATTTAAAAGAAAACTTATAACTTTAAATGAGACAGAAAAGCTCCTGTTGAGTGTTCTGATATGACCATTATAGAAACTTGAGCAAAAGCCATGACTCAATTTTATAGATTTTACCTGTTTGCCTGTCCCTTTGAGAGTTCTGTGTGAGTGTGTCCTTGCCTAATTTCTTCCATAAAAAATAAGGACTTATATTATTAGTCTGATTATGTTGCAAGTTAGCAAGGAATTGAAAAGCTAAGAAAATGCCAAGCAAATTCACCACATTAATATTGAAAACGTTTCGGAGTCCAGCTCCAGCATCAGTTCAACAATCTAAAAATGAATAAAATTCTTATTAATTTTTAGGTTGTCAAACTGATGATGGAGCTGGACTCAGAAACGTTTTCAATATTGATATGCTGAATTTTCTTGGTGTTTTCTTTGCTTTTAAATGCATAGAAAAAAAAATAAGGAAAACTACACATTCTTGGCTGCATTTCTGATATAATCAACCAAAAAATAGCAATTTTTAAATACCTATTTTTTGGAACATTTTGCCCAATATTCCATTTTGTCATGGGAAGCCCTCCTTGAAAGCTGGGCAGAAGCCTTCTGTGAATGATAATTTTGAAGATATAGTATTCATAAAATGCAGAGTCATTTTATGAGCATTTTTCCTGCAACTGAACTGGACTTCAGTTATAAAATCTCTTCATTAGTCTCCCCTCTGGCAATTATTTTGCAGCCTCTACTTAAAGATATGTATATTTAGTTTATCTATGTTTTCATTCAAGAACAGAGAATTTCTTATACTGACAATTTTCTTATTATTAATTAAATATATAAAAAATAATTTTCATATTCTCTGGTTTCATAAGCAGGTTTCTTCAATTTTAGCTTGATTAAAGGAATAAATTGTGCCATCCTATACTAATTAGTTTTTCTAAGTATATATAAGTAATAAAATCCTAATCAGTTCTCCTCTTTACAGGCTATGGAGTGAGCTCTGGGAAGCCCTCTGAGAAGAACCTCTACTCAGACATCCAGGCAGCCTGGGATGCCCTTAGAACTCGCTATGGTGTCAGCCCCGAGAACATCATCCTCTACGGCCAGAGCATTGGTGAGTCATGTATCATCATAGTATCATTGATAGTATTGTGAAGTATCATCATAGTATCATAGATAGTATTGGTGGAGTATCATCATAGTATCATTGATAGTATTTAGAACTCGCTATGGTGTCAGCCCCGAGAACATCATCCTCTATGGCCAGAGCATTGGTGAGTCATATATCATCATAGTATCATTGATGGTATTGGTGAAGTATCATCATAGTATCACAGATATTGGTGAAGTATCATCATAGTATCATAGATAGTACCTATTGAAGTATCATCATAGTATCATTGATAGTATTGCTGAAGTATCATCATAGTATCATAGATAGTATTGGTGAAGTATCATCATAGTATCATAGATAGTATTGGTGAAGTATCATCATAGTATCATAGATAGTATTGGTGAAGTATCATCATAGTATCACAGATAGTATTGGTGAAGTATCATCATAGTATCACAGATAGTATTGGTGAAGTATCATCATAAAGTAAAAGTGGGTGTTGCTAACCTTTGGTGTGTCTCATCACAGAGCAGCAGTTGAATTGCACTGTTATGTTCCTTGTGTTTCTGGTGAATAATTTCAACAGTGGTTCCTACTTCAAGTATCAGGAGTTATTCGCTACTTCTATTGGCATTTTCTTAGCTTTTAAATTCTTGGTAAAGTTACAATTCAAACTGAGTAATGGCATATGTATTTACCATATCATCACAGAGCAGGGGTTGCCAACCTTATATTTACTACGCACATATTAGAATATGCGGTAGGTAGTATTTGCATTTTATTTTACTCAATTGGCAATGAATAATTATTTCCAGTACATGTATATACTGCTTCAATGTAATAACTTCCTGCAACAAAGTGTGCAACAACTGTCAACTGTTGCAAAGATTATTTTGCATTAGGCAATATACTTTTTTTTTGGGAAATTAAAAATTAGTAGTACCTATTTTTGCAACTACAATAACCTTGTATGAGGAATATTCTTGGGAAGATTAATAGTAATGAATAAACTAGTATGGATTAACAATGTATTTATTGTGACAGGCACGGCAGCTACTGTGGACCTAGCGTCCCGGTACGAGGTGGGCGCTGTCATCCTGCACTCTCCGCTGATGTCGGGCATCAGGGTGCTGTTCAATACGAAGCGAACCTGGTTCTGTGATGCCTTCCCCAGGTGAGTGATGCTGTGGGATGCCTGCAGCATCCGGGTGCTGTTCAATACGAAGCGAACCTGGTTCTGTGATGCCTTCCCCAGGTGAGTGATGCTGTGTGATGCCTGCAGCATCAGGGTGCTGTTCAATACGAAGCAAACCTGGTTCTGTGATGCCTTCCCCAGGTGAGTGATGCTGCGTGATGTCTGCAGCATCAGGGTGCTGTATTCTTCTAAGTTAACTCCTACGCAAGGTAATGCTGCCCCAGGATACCAAAGTGAATGGGCAAATTGACTAGGATATTTTCCTGTGCTGGTATATCAAACTGAATTATTGAATAGAATTACTGTATTAAATTATTGAATAGAATAATTGTATTGAATTATTGAAAAGAATTACTGTATTAAATTATTGAAAAGAATAATTGTACCTACTGAATTATTGAATAGAATTACTGTATTGAATTATTATATTGAGTTATTGTTTTTTTTAAATTAAATTCCACCTTAGAGCTTGAGTTTATTGTATTTCAAGCATTTACCATCTGTTGTGTAGCCACTACAACTCGGCGGCGACTCCCCACCTCGCCTCCACAATCCTCATGATTCTTCGCATTCCTATACCTTTTAATTTGTGGAAATAAGTTCTATTGTATCTTATGTTTCTTATGTGTTACCATGAGCACCATAACCATGGCTTTTTATTGCGAGCACTGTACACATGACCCACTTTAATGACTAATGACCCACTACCGTGCGCAGTATCGAGAAGGTGGGCAAGATCACTTCGGTCTATTATCACGTCAATGAGACTATTGACGTCTATCACGTCAATAAGGTCTATTATCTCTTATGTTTCTTTTGTGTTACCATGACCCACCCTAATGACCCACTTGTGCGCAGTATCGAGAAGGTGGGCAAGATCACGTCACCCGTGCTTGTCATCCACGGCACGGAGGACAACGTCGTGGACTTCAGCCACGGCCTCGCCATCCACGAGCGCTGCAAGCGGCCTGTTGAACCCCTGTGGGTTGAGGTGAGCCCCTGTGGGTTGAGGTGAACTCCTGTGGGTTGAGGTGAGCCCCTGTGGGTTGAGGTGAGCCCCTGTGGGTTGAGGTGAGCCCCTGTGGGTTGAGGTGAGCCCCTGTGGGTTGAGGTGAGCCCCTGTGGGTTGAGGGGAGCCCCTGTGGGTTGAGGTGAGCCCCTGTGGGTTGAGGTGAGCCCCTGTGGGTTGAGGTTCCAATAATATCAGCTAAACCTTTTAAACTCCCCAACCTACAACTTCTATGCCCCCCATTGACCTCTCATGTCCCCACTAACCCCCTCCTCCCCCCAGGGCGCGGGCCACAACGACGTGGAGCTGTTCTCGCAGTACCTGGAGCGTCTGCGTCAGTTCGTCAACAGCGACCTGGGCAATTGACGGTCACAGCCACCACCTCCACAGCACCACAGCAAGCCTCAGCACTGCTGTGGTGCTGCTGCTGCTAATACCCTACAGCACCTCCTCTATAACTCGGGACCACAGCAGCCGTGCAGTGAGGACCACAGCAATAAAAAGTCTGGCGGTCCACAGACGTTGAACAGCAGCAATGAAGGGGGTGGTGGCTCTAGCGCTACAGCTGTTTGTGGCAGCGCTACAGCTGTTTGTGGCAGCGCTACAGCTGTTTGTGGCAGCGCTACAGCTGTTTGTGGCAGCGCTACAGTCTGTGGCAGCTGTACGGATGCCCCTGACAGCTCTAAGACAAGTACGTGTTGTAAAAATCTTCATAAAAACTGCAGCTGTAAGAGCAGCAATAAGAACAGTCCCAGTGACCATCAGTGTTGCTGCTGCTGTAAACGTAACAGCTGCAGGCGACATAAACGCTGCAGCAACTGTAGCAGCTGTAACAGAGGTACACGGGAGCGAGCGCAGTACCAAGAAAGACGACGATCTAGCAAAGACAGAAGTGACAAAGGCGACAAAGACAGGAAGTCTAGCGATAAATCCTCTGATTATTGCAAGAAAAGTCGCTGCAAATCTGATGACAAAAACAGCAAACGTAAAAGCAGAGACTTGAACAACAGCGATACAAATCCCAGCTCTGAACGACTGAGCAGCAACAGCAGCAGGCGTAGCAGCGACTGTTCTTGTTACAGTTGCAGAGAACGGCGTTGCTGCAGACGTAGGCGCAGTGATGCGTCTGCTACTGGCAGTGTTACAAGTGCTGCAAGTGTACTAGTATCGACAGCTAGTGCTACAAGAGCTGTTACATCTGTTAACACTAATGCTGCAAGCCTTGCTAATGATTGTGGCAAGACGAATGTTGCAACGTCAAGTAATGTTGCAAGAGCGGCTTCTTCCGCAAATGCTGCTAATGTTACAAGGGCAGTTGGCGCAACATTGGACGATGTGTGGCAGTTGCAAGACAACCAAGTCCCTGTTGGTGGTGGCTTGCTCCATGTGGCTGTAGATGGCGAAAGCCATGTGGCTGTAGACAGCCAAAGCCACGTGGCTGTACACGGCGAAATCCATGTGGCTGTAGATGGCGAAAGCCACGTGGCTGTGGACAGCCAACGCCAGCTTGCTGAGGACATCAATAGCCATGTGGCTGAAGACAGCAAAAGCCATGTGGCTGTAGACGGCGAAAGCCATGTGGCTGAGGCGAAGCCATGTGAGCAGCACCAGCTGCTGCCAGCGGACGATGGCTACCTCTACAACGGCTCCTTCAGGTGGAGCAGGACCTCCTACAGCAAGCGTGGCACCCCGCGCCGGAGGCTGGGTAGCCTCGACCTTGATTGGCTGCTTCCTCGACCAATCAGAGCGCGGCGTCGTCGTAGCCGCGCCGGTATCTGTGATACCAACAAGCAGGGTGTCCCCAACGACTGCAGTACCGGTGACACCAGGTCAGAGGGCGACGTCTCGCTGCTTAGGAAGAAATCCCGCGGCTTTTCTTTCCTTGCCTTCCTTGGTGGCAACACCGTGAAGGTGGACGAGGCTCGCTGCGATGGCAACACTGCTAAGGTGGAAGAGGCGCGCCGTGATGGCAACACTGCGAAGGTGGAGGAGGCTTGCCGCGATGGCAACACCGTGAAGGCGGATGAAGCGCACCGCGATGGCAACACTGTAAACGCCTCTGACGTTGAGTTCAACACTGGCAACGTTGACATCACAGTTGACAGGGACGTCGGTGATGATAAAATTATGATGATGCTGGAATCATCAACCACGATGAACAGTTAAACTGATGTTGGTGATGTAAATAATAAATATTATACATCATCCCAGCCAGGGATGTCTCGGTAGCTGGTAGTGCTAAGTGAACCCCTCAACCCTCATAATAACCCCTCTTCGGACCCCTGTGTGAACCCCTGAATATTATGCATCTTCAAGATTAGGGTTTTAAAATTTTTTGTTCAATAAAGTAATGTGTTTTTATTGGGGGTCCAGGGAACGCGTATATATGACTCACTTTTGTCAGAATTTTGATTTAGTTTTGGGGGCTACTGTCCCCCTGATTTTTGTGTGTGTTTATTGTAGTTATTTTCCTGTAAGACTTTCTTGTGTACATAGCCTGACTCACTTCAGCCTGACCCACTTGTGTATTAATAAGCTATTTCCTTGACTCACTTCCGTGCATATGATTATTGTACGAGTTTTGTCCAAATTTTTACCCACTTAGCTATATTTTACTGTCTAAAGTCATGTCAAGTTGACTTTGGCTTGTCATGCTTATTTGTCTTGACTCAGTTTTGCTCGGCTACGTGTAGGAAGTGTGTCACTATTGGGACATGACACACTTATTTCTCTCTATGCACGCTGCACTTGCCGTGTTGATTATTTTGTTGTTCAGGGAAATTTTTGATGTAACCTAAACATTCAACTTTCACCCCAAACATGTTTCAACTTCAACCTTCATATTTTTATAACATATTTCAACTTCAATTTTCAACCTTAATTTATTTCAACTTCAGCTTTCAACACAAACTTGTTTCAACTTTCAACCCAAACTTATTTCAACTTCAACTGTCAACATAAACATATTTCAACTTTCAACCTAAACATATTTCAACCTCAACTTTCTACACAAACTTATTTCAACTTCAACTTTCAACCCAAACTTATTTCAACTTCAACTTTCAACCCAAACTTATTTCTACTTCAACTTTCAACCCAAACATATTTCAACTTTCAACCTTAACTTATTTCAACTTGAACATATTTGATGAACATGAAGACTTGATGTGCCTTCATGTCCAGTTACACTCACAGCAATCAGTGGCTCATTGTCCCAAATACAGATTCACTTTTTTTGCCCATTTTTTGACTCAGTTTGGGCCCGGCAAAAGCTGGTATCAGTGCTACGTGCGTGCGGTGGGTACAAAAGTGTGTCAATATTTGGACAATTTAGTCCACTTATTTATTTGAGTGATATGTTAATAGCTAACCTCTGCTTGACTCTCCGTAGGAATAGCACTGCAATCATAGCCTTGTACAGTCCTGGTAGGAATAGCGTTGTGAATAAGACTTCGCCTTTGTTAGACCTACAATCCTCGTAGGAATAGCATTACAAGGGGAATGTTATAATAGCTTGACAATAATAACTGAATGAGACTGTCCGAATTTAGCCGTANATGTTGCTGTGCATGTTGTTAACATGTACGTCGACCTGCATGTTCCAGTCCTCATAACTTAATTCTTTTCATTGCAAAACATGTATATATGAAATTAAATCTAATGTCTTCAATCACTTAGTGAATTCTACGAGGTCTGCAAAGTTTTTTACCTTCGAATTTCTTGTTATCTATCATTATGTCACCTGTATTGATATTTATCTTAGTTATCTTGCTTAGTTTTGATTATCTAGAGACGCTGTCCCGCCTATCACTGTAATCATAAAATAATCTTTGTGTATACTTGATTGGTCCCTTGAGCCAATCACGGTCCGCGTTACAATTGGTCCCTTGAGCGGCCAATCACAGTCCGCGTAACAATTTTAAAATTGGTTCCTTGAGTGGCCAGTCACAGTTGAAGTTACAATTGTTCCCTTGAGCCGATCAATCACAATCCACGTTACAATTCGTTCCTACAGCTGCCAATCACAGTTTACGTTACAATAATTATTGTTCCTTTGAGCGGCCAATCACAGTCCGCGTAACAATTTTAAAATTGGTCCCATAAGTGGCCAGTCACAATCCCCGTTGCAATTGGTCCCTTGATTGGCTTGTCACAGTCCGTTACAATTGGCCCCTTGAGCTGCCAATCACAATCTCAGTTCCAAATGAAAATATTCGCTAGGTTTTACGTTACCAATCACCCTGCATTCAGGAGGGAAAAGGCATCTTGTTTGTGATTGGTCTAAGATCGCACCAATCAGTAGCCGTGTTGCTGGGACATGGAGTGTAGCGGCACGCACCAATCACGGGTCGGGATCAGCGGTTATCTTCCTAGTATTTATTGTCACAACCTTAAAAAAATTAAAAAATGTAAATTTTCTATTGCCTTTCCGTATTCATTCCTTCATTTATTCTGTAGGCTTAGGTTGCGGGCTTCAATTAGAGTTTATAACTCCCATTAGCCAATCAGACTTTTTTTCAAGCTCAACCGACCAATCACAGACGAGAACTCGACCGTTACGTGTACTTAGACAAATAATAGTGAAAAACAGGTGAAAGAAAACAAATTGCATGAAGATCTTCATTTTCTTGCACAAAACAGCAAGGCCTATTGAACACGTGTGCTCCCTTCAGTAACACGTGTGCTCCCTTCAGTAACACGTGTGCTCCCTTCAGTAACACGTGTGCTCCCTTCAGTAACACGTGTGCTCAACTTCAATACAAAAACTTCCATCTTAACAAAACTCGTGTAATGAATAACTCCTTTGCGTGGCATATACATGCACTCCCAAGAAAATGAAGTAAGATGTAAGATAGAAAATAAAGATAATTGAGAGATTATGGAAAGACTTGCAATGACCGACAAGATACGAAGTTCCTAAGAAACGAAACGAAATAATTTGAGAAATGTTACAATTTAAACAGAAACAGCAACTGAATTTCGGTGTAGCCCTTATTCACATCACAGACTACAATCTGAAAAATTAATGGGTTATTTTGTCCGAAAACCGACGCACTCTCTAACCCACAGCCGGAGCAAACAGAGGACATAGCATAGATACCTTCTATTACTTGGTCATTCAAAGGCAAAAAATGAAGTTATTTTGACAATACGCCGCTCATTTCTCCCAGTGTAGCTTCAAATTCCATAAATTCTTCACCACTTGCGCTATGCATGGACAGGAAAAAAATTATATCATTTTTGATATATAAAAATGATGTTCCTATGAACCTGATCAATGAAAGAAACCTGTAAGAAAAATTGGAATGAAATCAGGGACAAACCCTGAGATATTTTAATCTCTATTTACTCCTCACAACGTATTCGTGCCGAAATCTTTTATGTAAATAACCGTGCGTGTGGGCGTTAATTCATATATGCATTTCTAAGGAATTTGTGCACGGTGCTGAACCTACAATGTGTAGTGTATAACAAACCCAAGGTAATTAACACATGTCACAGAGTCCACGAGGGTTACATTCACCTACGAACCTCAGCCTCCAGGACCACACAACTTAATCTATATGCAAGTTATTTAAGAGTACAAATCATCGTCATCCCCGTCGGCACCAAAGCCCCCGGTGCCGCCCGCACCTCCCGCCCCTCCTGCGGCGCCAGCGCTGCCCGTCCCGCTGCCGCTGCCTGGGTCCTCGTCCATCTGGGGGGACGAGGGGGTTATACGGGGGTACAGGGGGTTAATTGTGGGGTACAGGTTAGCTGCGGGACAAGGGGTTATTTGGGGTAAAGAGGGTTGGAGGGGGGGACTTCAACTCCTCCTCGAAACTTTCTTTGGTTATCTCATGGAAGAAATCTTCGTTTTTCTGGGGGGCATAAGAGGGGTTATACGGGGTTACAGGGGCTTGGTTGGGGGCATAGGTAGCTAGGGGACAAGGGGTTATTTGGGGTAAAGAGGGTTGGAGGGGGAACTTCATCACTCCCTCGAAGTGTTCCTTTGTGATCTCAGAGACAGGGTCCTCGTCCATCTGGGGGTTATACGGTGTTCTGGGCTTCATTGAGGGGTACAGGCTAGCGGGGGACAAGGGGTTAATTGGGGTACAGAGGGTTGGAGGGGGAACTTTATCTCCTCCTCGAAGTGTTCTTAGGTTATCTCAGGAACGAAATTTTTGCCCATCTGGGAGGCACAGAAGGGATTTGGGGATTAAGAAGTTAGTTGAGGAAAGCAATGAGTTAGGTAGTTTCCTTCAATTCAAGATCATCTAATAACTCATCACAATCACCTCCATGTCGTCAGCGTTGCCGGCCTTCTCCCTGCGTATCTCCATCTCGATGGCCTGGCGGATGGCGAGCTTGCAGGCGCGCTGGCAGATCTCGGTGAGGTCGGCGCCTGAGAAGCCCTTCGTGCTGCGCGCCAGGAAGTCCAGGTCAACGTCCTGCAGCATCAAATATTGATGAAGTATGAGGAAAGATAGTGAAGATGATAGTGCAGATATAAATATAATGTACATACTGAGATAATATTAAAATAATGAAGCGCTTGCTGCTGTGAGCTAGGAACTCCCGGTTACGTCTTTTCACCGGCATTGCAATCATTATATTCATATAATAAGATATGTTATAAAGAGCTACATTATTGCAGCTCATTAATTTCATATTAGTTTAGCTGGGCTCTTCCTGAGACAGGCCTTCAGTATNGCATGTGATGACCCACCTTGCATGTGATGACCCACTATACATGTGATGACCCACCTGGTTGATGACCCACTTAGCACATGATGACTCACCTTGCATGTGATGACCCACCTTGCATGTGATGACCCACTATGCATGTGATGACCCACCTGGTTGATGACCCACCTGGTTGATGACGCGGTCAGCAGCGCCCCCCGCGTCACCAGCAGAGCCGCCCCTGGCCTTGGCGATGCTGTCGAGCTCGTCGAAGAACAGCACGCACGGCGCCGCCGACCTGCCAAGTCACGTAACATTATTTCATCATCCGTTCATATTCCAAATAATGAATTGTTTGTTGTTTATAACCAATATCTTAGTTATCTTCATTTAGGTACCTTAATTATTATTATTATTATTTATTATATTTTTTATCACTCTTTATTGTTCAAGATGTTATTTACAAGCAATGGCATCTGTATTAGAAGCTAATGAACATCTGGAGTTGTCAGAATTGTTATTCATCAAAGACGTCCTGACGTCACAAGAACCCACCTGGCCTTATCAAAGACGTCCCTGACGTTAGCCTGACATCACAAGAACCCACCTGGCCTTATCAAAGACGTCCTGACGTCACAAGAACCCACCTTGCCTTATCAAAGACGTCCCTGACGTTAGCCTCGCTCTCTCCGAACCACATGGTCAGGAGCTCAGGCCCTTTGATGCTGATGAAGTTTGCCTGACACTCGTTGGCGATAGCCTTGGCTAGCAGCGTCTTGCCGCAGCCAGGGGGGCCGTAGAAGAGCACCCCTTTGCTGGGGGTCATGCCAAACTTGAGGAACTTGTCAGGATGCTCGACAGGATACTGCACCAGCTCCTGCAGCTCACGCTTCACGCCCTCCAGGCCTCCTACATCCTGCCATGTGATGTTGGGGACCTCAACCACAGTCTCGCGCAGGGCTGAAGGTGAAGACTTGCCCATGGCGAACCTGAAGGAGGAAGGGAGTTAGGAGTTCTATGGGAGGGAGGGAGTTAGGAGGAGTTCTATGGGAGGGAGAATTAACAGGACTAGCTTAGGGAGAGAGCGTTAAACTATTTACAATGCATTTGATAAAAGCAGAGAATATATTGGTAGTGTATAATAGATATAATGATGAGTGATATATCTTAGACAACAAGTCTTGCAACATCACATGATAGTATAAAATTGCACAATAAGAGGAAGCAATTACCGCCATATTGACTAATTCAAACTAGAGTTACCTTATCTGAAGATCTCCAACAACATCTAATGAAGGCAGGTCAATGTTCAGATATTGTCACCTCAATCATTTGCAACCACATTACTACCAGCTTCACTATTTGCTCTAGAATAGATCACATCACCTTGGTCATAAATCATCAGCATTCACAATACTGCTATCATCTATACTACCAATATGAACTATGCTATCATGTAATGATCGAAAATAGGAAGAAATCACGAAATCACACACCCTTGGTCTTGGGTGTGCATTAGACATAAGGCCTCTTTACTCATCTATACTACATGCACTATGTTATATCTATACTACATGCATTAGACATAAGGCCCCTTACCTGAAGTTCTCCATTGTAACAGCAAGGGAGTTCAGCACCTCTGCGTCAATCTGATCGTCTTCCATATCGATAAGATCCATCTTCTCCCTGATCTGCTGCAGGGCAGCTTCAGAGCACAGAGCCGCAAGATCCGCACCCACATGCCCATGGGTCTCCGCAGCCACCTGCTCCAGCTCCACATCCTCTGCAAGCCTCATGTTCTTCGTGTGGATGCGCAGGACCTCAAGCCGACCGGTCTGGTCTGGGATTCCGATGTCGACTTCTCTGTCAAAGCGACCAAAGCGTCGCAGGGCAGGGTCAATGCTGTTGGGGCGGTTGGTGGCCGCCATCACGATGACGTGGGCGCGCTGCTTCAGACCGTCCATCAGAGTCAGCAGCTGTGACACAATGCGACGCTCCACCTCACCGTGCGTCTGCGGGATAAAGAAATTTAGCAATACCAAGTGAGAATTTGAAGGTAAAAAGTTGGTAACAACCAGGAAATTGATCATTTTCTGAAGAAAATAAACTGAATGAATGTACAGACCAAATACATAGTTGAAAAAAAGAGACGCAAAACAACAATAAATATTAGTCTCGGACAATGAGACGGGCTTGTATTCTCTATAGCAATTGCTATAGTTAACAATATTCATTAAAGAAGGTGGCAATGAGCAACAAATTGAACATAATAACTTATTACCTTCATTATGAACAACTTGACTACTTGTCAATAACCATCATCTTTTCCCTTCTGGGCGCTAATTACTAATTAGACTCATTAACAACTGACGTCATCACCTCCTCCCTCTTGTTCACCACAGCCATTCACCACCACCCGTCATCACCTTCTCCCTCTTGTTCACCACCCATCATCATCTTCTCCCTCTTGTTCACCACCCATCATCAACTTCTTCCTCTTGTTCACCACCCGTCATCACCTTCTCCCTCTTGTTCACCACAGCTATTCACCACTACCCATCATCACCTTCTCCCTCTTGTTCACCACAGCTATTCACCACTACCCATCATCACCTTCTCCCTCTTGTTCACCACAGCTATTCACCACTACNATCTCAGGGCCGTTGATCAGGAAGAAGAACGAGCCCGTCTCGTTGGCGACCGCCCGCGCGATCAGCGTCTTGCCCGTGCCTGCAACCAGCGACATGTCATATGCAACTCAATGGATAATTTGTCTCTACACATTTAATTGAAAAGATAATCAGTCAATTATACATGAAATTCAATACCGCGTCTGTCAATGCAACACAAAACTCAATACTAAATGAAGCTAGAGCAGCAAAATACATGGAGACGCTGGGCAGTCAAACAGACGGCATGCAGTGTATGGATAGAATTAAAGCTGATAAAATGCCGAGTGTATTGCATAAGGAAAACTATGATTTTCCTTCATCACCTTTAATGTCATGTATGATCACACCGGGAGGATTGCACTCGAGTGTGTACCAGTAATAGTGTATCTAAATGATGCAAAGACATTATAACTGCATTCTAAATACGTTCAATGTTACTTAAATTCTCTCTAAGACCTAACATGTTTTCATTCTAAAAATATACTGATACTATATCAAGACCTCATTGGCAGAGGTCAAAAACCTTGAGCACAATCTCAGAGTGATTTTTAATATAACGTAACGTAATTAAATATTTCCACTCTCCGCATCACGAATAAAAAAGTTTATAAACACCACATGTAAAAATGTCCACTCTCTGCACTAAGAATGAAAAAAGCTCATGAACACCACATGAAATATAAGAGACGACATCCACACTCCAGGTTGTGGCCCACTAGACAGTATAGCTCAAAGGAAATGTAAATTTCCTTATAATTTTTACTTATTTTCCTCATAAAATTTCCTCATTAATTTTTATAATAGCAAAGCCTACATTGATACCGTCATCCCCCTACATGGGGGAGAGAAGCCTTAGCCTCCCTCCCAAGGCTGGAATTATATAGGGGTTTGTCAATAGTGTGGGCATGGGAGGGGTGAGGCATGCATTGTATGGAGAAAATTAAAGCTGATAAAATTCTGAATGTATTGGTTTAGGAAAACTGTAAGTTAAGTTTCCTTCATCAACTTTTATGTCATGTATGATCACACGGGGAGGATTCCAGTAATAGTGTACCTAAATGATGGCAAGACATTAAAACTGCATTCTAAATACGTTCAATGTTACTTAAATTTGCTCTAGGACCTAACATGTTTTCATTCCAAAAATATAGTGAAACTATATCAAGACCTCATTGGCAGAGGTCAATAACCTTGAGCACAATCTCAGAGTGATGTTTAATGCGACGTAAGTAAATATTTCCACTTCTTGCATCAAGAATAAAAAAATATAACTCAGTACTCACTGCAGTGAGTGACAGCGAGCGCATTTTCTCGTCGACGAAAACGTGAAGTCACGGACAGACAGACGGATGGACGGACGTACAGAAGTGACGGACATGGCGAGCACAATAGCACATTTTTTCCATAAATGAGAAAATGCGCTAAAAAGCTTATTAACACCACATGAAATACAAGAGATGACATCCACACTCCAGGTTGAGGCCAACTAGACAGTATAGCTCAAAGGAAATGTAAATTTCATTATATTTTTACTTATTTTACTTATAAATTTCCTTACTAATTTTTATAATAGCAAAGTCTACATTGCAACCTTCATCCCCCTACATGGGTGATAGAAGCCTTAGCCTCCCTCCAGGCTGGAATTATATAGGGGTATTAAATTAAACTGAACACATCATAATCAACCCGACATCACAATCCCACAATCAATCACAGTCTGGAGACGAAGACATCACAACAATCACAGTCTGGAGATGAAGACATCACAACAATCACAGTCTGGAGACGAAGACATCACAACAATCACAGTCTGGAGACGAAGACATCACAACAATCACAGTCTGGAGACGAAGACACCACAACAATCACAGTCTGGAGACGAAGACATCACAACAATCACAGTCTGGAGACGAAGACATCACAACAATCACAGTCTGGAGACGAAGACATCACAACAATCACAGTCTGGAGACGAAGACATCACAACAATCACAGTCTGGAGACGAAGACATCACAACAATCACAGTCTGGAGACGAAGACATCACAACAATCACAGTCTGGAGACGAAGACATCACAACAATCACAGTCTGGAGACGAAGACATCACAACAATCACAGTCTGGAGACGAAGACATCACAACAATCACAGTCTGGAGACGNCCGTAGAGCAGGATGCCCCTGGGGGGCTTGACCCCGATGGCCTTGAAGAGGGAGGGGTGACGGAGGGGCAGCTCGACCATCTCCTTGATCTGTGCCATCTGCTTCCTACAGCCTCCGATGTCGTCGTAGCCAACCTCGTTCAGGCTCTCGTCCTCCTCCTACGGGCATAGGTTGGTGTTACATCACAGCACCGCAATTAAGATTTAAATTACTTATAAACAGCACCATAAACAATAGTCAAATTTGCATACAAAAATGCACGGCAAGCCAAACATGTTGGTTGCAGCAAAGACACTTTGTTTATAGGTGAAATTACACCTGTAACATAAGTCCTATAACTCAAGCTGGCCTGTGAGTTAAAATATTCAATTACTGAAATCCGCCCTCAACCAGTATAACTAGATTACCCTAAATTATGTTAACTAGGGTAACAAAAGTAACAAGGTTACCCATACCCTGTGCTTGACAGGCTAGTTACCCTGAATAAGAAGAGCATTTCAAGTAACTAGGGTAACTAATACCTCACGCTTGACAGGCTCGCCCTCGCAGTAGATGACGGTGTCCTGGGACACGATGCAGTAAGGGGCCGGGTCCGTCTCCACCACCTTGAACTCCACGGCCCGCATGCCCCCCCGCACCATGAACAGGTCCCCCTTGTGGATGGGGCGGTATGCCTCCAGGAAGTAGGGCTTCAGGTATACCTGCAGTACAGGGTTAACTTGGTTACCTGCTCCAGCAGTGCTTACATTTCAACCAATAATAACAAATACAGAAATTGAAACTTCTCACAACCCATAATATTAAACAAGGGTCTTTTTCCAACAGTACAAAATTTTCTTGTGATTGATAAAAGTGATAAAAAATAAAATGTATTCATTCAACAAAAACGAAATAGATATAATAATATTGCAATATATAATAATATATATAACATTATATAATGATGTACAAGCAAGATACAAGTGTAAGCAATGCACAAGCATCATTAATCAATAAAAAAGTGCAGACCTCAAAAATGTTGCCAGAGAGTCCCTCAATGGTGTCGTCAATGGGCAACACGTGGATGCGCTTGCCATACTTGACGTCAGGGCACGGCTGCACCGACACCACGTCACCCAGCCTCACCCGCAGGTTGTTGCGCACCTGCCATCATTTAGATGATCAGCCATTTCCATTGAATATATTTAGGATAGCTTATATTCAAGTCAGCCAGCCACCCTAGCAGGTTGTTGTTCATCTGCTCAAGTCCCACAGCTATTCCCAACTATCCATCTTAGCCCACAGCTATTCCCAACTATCTCATCTTAGCCCACAGCTATTCCCAACTATCGCATCATAACCCACAGCTATTCCCAACTATCCATCTTAGCCCACAGCTATTCCCAACTATCACATCTTAACCCACAGCTATTCCCAACTATCCATCTTAACCCACAGCTATTCCCAACTATCTCATCTTAGCCCACAGCTATTCCCAACCATCACATCTTAACCCACAGCTATTCCCAACTATCCATCTTAGCCCACAGCTATTCCCAACTATCCCATCTTAACCCACAAATGTTCACAACCTTCATACTCGGACCATTCACTACTCTAGTTTATCACACATCTAGCATTAACATAGGAAAATATCATTTATTGCTTGTTTTAACACTCACAACACTCACACTTCCATAATTACAGCACACATAATATAAGACATAACTTGTATAGTTCCCCCACTCACAACTCTGTTCATGCGGATTTTGTCATCAGGGCAGTTCTCGTCACTGAGGACGATGCAGACAGTCTGCTTGCGCTTCTTGCCCTTGAGCAGGACTGTGTCGCCACGGAAGAGCTGCAGTTCGTCCATCTTTGCCTGGCCCAGCGCCACCACCGAGTTGTCGTCATTGACTGCATCTTCAACCACTAGCCTGTTGGGCCGCTTCTTGTCCTTAAGGATGGCCGTAGATAAGTCAGCCCTGAAGGATATATGGTGATTAAATTGTGATGGCTGACATAAAAGGGCAATAACAATAATCAAAAAATAGATAAATTATTTGTTTCATAAGTTACAATACATCTAAAAAGGCACAAACAGATTGACCTGATCCCTGTATATATTCAAACATAAGCCTGGTCTCAATGTTGTTTTTAGCTTCTTTCCTACCATAAATAGCAAACAGATAGGCCTGTTTACTAGTGTTCATTTCATGTTGTCATTTGCTTGTTGTTTCCCTATTAATACCTGACGATGGATTTCATTTTGATAATTAATTGGATCTGTGTAGGGATTTTGTTATGAACTGACAATGGAACTGGACTCCAAAACATTTTCTCTTATAAAGAACTGGCAAGTTTTTGTGGTATTTTTGTTGCCTTTATATTCCTAGGTATCATGAATGTTAATATAAAAATTTAAAAGATATTGAAGAAAAGAAAAACAATCTAGAAATAGAACAGGAAATTTGGAATGAACTGGTTAAAATAAATATACATATATAGTTTCTGCCAATATGGCCATAGCGGCAAAGCAGAGAGTTTTCTAGACTCTCCAAGTTCAATTTTAAGTCGTATAAGTATACCAGCAAAGTATGGATATCAGCATCATACATAAGATATTGGTTTAAATCTTGAGTAAATAAGAAAATTAAAAATGAACTGATTCTAAAAAATCACTGGTTTGCCACTATGAATTGCCTATGGGCACAACTGCTCACAACATTCCAAACATGATATAATAAGAAAATGTCACTTTGGAGCCACAAAATTTTAAAGATAAGTAGGAAAATTCTAATCTTGCTTGGAGGTGAATTAGTTTTCACACTTCAACTAATGTAATGCCATGCTCAACAGAGTCAAACTTATTCTAAAAGAAGCCACTCTAGCAAGAGACAAAAAAGCCTGTGATCCACAGTGCAGAAAGTGGGTAAATATTGAGAGATATTTGGCGATGCATTCGCAACAAAATTTACGCCTTCTGAAGATCTTGCCCACACATTTGGTGTGAAACTATTGCATTTTAGAAATTACTGCTAATCTGAAAGACTGCAAGCGCACAGGGTGAGGGTTCCGGCATGCCAGATGGATCAGGATGCAGTGAAGCTTGTCCCGAAATCAGTTGCAGTGCGTGGAGAGTATTGGATATACTATCAAAGTTGCTTGCAGCACTTTAAAGTCACCGTATGCGCAACTCGAGTTCTGTTTGCTTTACGTCACTCTCAAAACACCGCACTACGCGCCAGCAACGATGAAACATCACAAACTGTTGCCATATTTATTTAAAAGCCTTTAGAATGCAAACCTACCAAATCCCTATATTCCGACACTGTGTGAGACTAAATTTGGCATTTTGTGAGACTAATTCCGGTTGCGCTTCAAACTCTACTAATTCGTAATTCCGACACCCCTGTGTTCGAATTCCGATCGCTGTGTGAGCTGTATTGGAATACGACACAGCTTGGAATTAGAACACTATTGAATATTGAACACTACTTAATTACCACACTCAGGATAATGCAGGTTTTCGGGGAATTTTCCTGCGCATATCAAGTTTTTTTAACCAAATGGTTGGCGCAGCTCGCGCACAGTCATCTAAATATTTTTTCTTCGTGCAGGCGTTCGTGCAGATTCTGGTCATCCATCACACCCCAAGCAGAAGTTGGCGCATATAAAGTTTGTCAAGGAACCAACAAATAACTCAAAATATCTGATATGCATTTAATTATCATCAACAATATATGATTTTCCTTTATATGGAAATTTTCCAAAATAAAAATATAGAAATTCATTTTAGAAGAAATTTTCTACAAATACCTTATGGCAACATCCGACCATCGTTTGTTTACCTTTTGTATCTAGGTAATCAATTATTCTGTCCGGACGTGACGCAAGTGGTGAAGAACAAAGTCCTCAGAAATTGAACCTATGACGAATGAAGTAATCAAGTATTAGTGTTAGATGGCAGGTTTTGCTTATTCTATATATACTAATAGTGCGCCAATAGATTAGAGGTTCTACAGTTATTGAAAGGAGTCAGAGATAATTTCATTCTAATTGATGGAAAAATAGTTTATGTGTGCGAAATCTTTTGTAAATAAAATATGTCTTGACATAGCCATCATCAGAAATTCCCAATGGAATGGTATGGCAACATTGTCTTTATAGACTTTTACGTAACACTGATACATCGCCATGTGTCATGTGATGTGTCCTCTTGGCCACGAATTTAAATCTGAAATACCATTTTTCGTCATAAATTTATTGAGTTAACTCATCGATTTTCTATCTTCTGATATAAATTAGGAATTGGCCAGGTTGACTTTTTGCCAGAGTGGCGGTAAACGGCGCATTGATTTACGGTTCTAAAAGTCAGAACAGCAAACTAGTTAGCAAAGGAACAATGACAACACATGGAGATAAATTCTATAGTTACTATATTATAGAAAAATCTAGTCTAATACAATTGGACAGTCGGCAGAGCACGATTTACACGAAATATGGTCCTATACTGCCACACCAAAATATGTAGCTCAGACAGAGTTACACAGGGGAATTTCCCGACATAGCATTTGTGCTCAAAATATCTCCTATCCCGACCTATCTACCCAGTTATTTCACTTCTATGACTCTACGGAAAATAAGATAGTTTCTAACAGTTTCCCGGAGTACATCACCGAAAATTTGGGAGATGGTGAGGCCCACTGCGCAGCGGGTGGCGAGTTTTCCAAGGCTAAGCGACGGCGAAGATTAGAAATCGGAAGTCTTCAGTCCGCGTTCCTTGGTGTGCGTGTTATTTGGGGTGATGCGTTCTTTCTTGCTGTGGCCTGTAGATACTGGCTTCCGAAATAAACTCTATCTCGGTGGAAATAGGTTTCTTCGGTTGGGAGATTGATGTGATGTTTTAAAAAAAGGGTGAGATCCGTTGCAGTTCCGTTGAGCCGTACGACTGTTGTAAACGACCGAAGATTAGAAATCGAAAGTCTTCAGTCCGCGTTCCCTGGTGTGCGTGTTATTTGGGGTGATGCGTTATTTCTTGCTGTAGCCTGTAGATACTGGCTTCCGAAATAAAACTCTATCTCGGTGGAAATAGGTTTCTTCGGTAGGGAGATTGACTCTTCTCTTGTGCTATCANGACTGTTACGTTGGACGCGTTCAAGCGTTGATTGGATTCTTGTTACTGTGATGATGCAAGCACTGTTTTTTTCAAAGAAACAGCTGTGGCATCTTGCAGAGACTCATCAGTGATGATGATCGACTGAAAGTGAAAGTGTGCTGGACATTCCAGATTTTTGGGTCCTGCTTTCCAATTTGCTATGTTTACCAGTTAATATATTACCCCTCTGGATTTCCACACTGATGGTCAGCTGCTGCTGATGTTGGACAAAAGACTGCCAAGTTCAAGCAGCAGTAAAGTGATTATTATAATTTATAAAGGACATTAAATTCTAGTTTCTTACCCAAAAATGCACTACCTACACAACAAGGCTGATTTAAAAAAACTGCTCTGCAAGAATCATTTTAAAAACCTATTGTTTAAACCAGGTAAGATAACGATAGGAAAAGACCACAGACCCACACCCACACCCATAGTGGCAAAGCAGAGAGTTTTTTTGACTCTCCCTCAAGTTCATTTTTGAGTCTTATAGAATAGAATAGAATAGAATAGAATAGAATAGAAGTGTCGGCGCTGAAGAAATAGGAGGCCCATGGCCTGTTGCCGATTCTTGAACTTTTCGTGACTTGATTCACAAGGGATCCGGCCTTTGGAACCCGATCTTTCCATAGCTGACGATTGAAGTAGACAAGCAAAGTATCATGGATACCAGCATTATCATACATTAGAAATTGGTTTAAATCATGAGTAAATGAGGAAATGAAAAATTAACTGATTCTAAAAAATCTCTGGTTTGTCACTATGCCCACACCACACTCTGTGTTCAAAACAGCTGAGTCATAACTCGAGTCCCGGTATTTCCAACAAACATTGTAAAAAAAAATCAGGCTGCCTCAACCTAAAATACATTAAGAACAGACTTACGCTTCAGCCATATTTCAAAAATTTTTATTTTCTTATAGTTACAGCAAAATTATAACTTTATACTTTACGAAATTGAACAGGCCTTTAACAAACGAGGATGCCGACACAACACACGTACATGAATGATGCTTCAAGTTCTATTACGAATGTCCCTCGACTTTAAATTTTTACCCTAAATGGTATTTCACTTAGTTAAATGGAATGCTGCCTCTTTAAGCGAATATAGACGGTTATAAATGTATTCGAGAGGGAAGGTATAGCCAAACTATTCTTAGTTACACACAATATTGATGAAAATATTGGACTTTTTCATTGAATGGAGTTAAACTCACACCTTATCTATATATTCTTCAGAAAAATGATCACTAAACCAGGTTCGTACTGAAATGTTAGGAATGAGCACCAAAAAAAACATAGAAACCATGCCTATTTCAATTTACAAATTTCGAAATTGGCCCGATAATGACAACGGTAATTTTTTCAATTAGAAGAATCAGGGCTTCGCTAGTTTAGGGTTATGTGGCAATTTTCACCCCAAATCAAAACATGTAACATCGTCGTTTGAACTCAACATGAACGAAACTTATAGCAGAAAATCATATACGAAAGAATGTTGTAATTTTGACAACAAACGCCGATTGATCATCAGGGTTCTTAAGATAAAATATTCAAATGGTGTTTTATTAATTTTACACGGTGAGCTGTGGAAAGTTAACGGGAGAGCTTGTAATAGCTTGTGGCCCGATACCATAACTACGCCATGTCGAATGCAGAATTATGATTGGGACAGTTGCGCAGTAAAGTTCGAAGAAGTGTCGATCAAGTGAACAGTTCTGAAGTATAGCAGATCTCAACCTGCTACAGACGTCCAGACTGTTTATTAACGTTTTTGATTATAAAACTATTCCCTACAAGAAATTCATTTTGTTGATATCAGAGTTACAATGAATTCTTGGCCGTGATTTGCGATAATAATAACAATAGCGGTTTCAGCGCTTATTAGGCCGTAGGCCTGTCGGTGATTTTTCACATCACAGAACATTCACAGCTTGCTGCGGTCTCGAACTCGCAACTCACTGCTGTGCTTTAACCGCCCGGCCTCCTCACCGATTCTGACTGACCGAAACTGACGCAGAGCTGGGATCGAAACCGCGATTCTCTGCGCCAATCTTGGTACTCTGAACTTAACCACTGGGTTGGTGCGACTTTTTACTTTGGTGCTGGTGCGAGTTCAATTTTCAGAAGCTGGGCACTAAGAAATATTCACGCAAGTAGAGTCATATTGGAAATCGTTCATTATAAATTTTATATTTAGTCTATTTATCACAGAATATCGTCATGTTTGAGGTACGGATGCAGGAATTATGACTGATCGACTATAAAATGCATCTTACCTTCCTTAAATACGTTTCCAACCCCTACCTGCCACGATCACAGGTATAGGTACAACAAATTATATACGGTAAGTAAACACTCACTCACGTTTTCTTGCTACCTACTGTGGGAATCATGGAACCCGACCCAGGACTACTGAACATGTAAACTTTCAGCGACCTATTAGAAAACGATTTGATCATTAACTAAATCATTATTAATCTCAGGGCGACCAACATCATAGCCATCGACTGGATTCAGTATCAAAGCCCCTCAGAACGACGCCATTATGAATCATTTTATATATTAAAACTGCAATGGCAGTGATTTTGTGTTAAAAATTGGCACTTGATGCGTTTTTACATAAGTCAGTGAGTTGTCATTCTAACAGAGTTGCAGACACGAGTAAAGATGCCTTTGAGCTCAGCAGGCAAAGTTTGGTCGCATGCGCAGTTTGATCGAATGTGAAGATTTGAAAAAAAAATTATTTATGGTTTTAGTTTGGGTTATCTTCAAAAATTTACCTCATTGCATATCTTTCTATAGCCGGTAATTCAGAAGTGCGCGACCGACATTGATTGACTCACAATTTCCGAAGGCTTCCTCTACAGCGTATATGGAAATCATATTCGTTAGAGTTTCCCCAACTATACTGTCAAAAATATTCACTTGGCAATATAAATTCCATCTCTGCTGCTGAAGCTCACAATTGTCCGCCCTCTACAAATAAAATGATCATATATTTCCGTTCATAACTTTATGTTCAAAAGTAAAACAAATTTAACATGAATTCTATTATCAAGGCCAAAAATTCAATGAACAGTTGCACAGAAACAATTCAAGATTACAAAATAACTGTAACCTCATTTCGCAAGTTTTTATAGATATGCTTTCTGTACTGAGAAGATAATGCTCAGTGAATATGTATATTTATGTATTACAACGTTCATGTATTGGATTCCGCGTATGGCCGTATAAGTCGGGAACGAGGGCGAAATCAAAAGAATTCACGCGGGCTAGACATCACATATACGACAGCACATATGTACGTGACAGCACATATATAGACAGCACATATGGAAAAACATGGAAACCATAACTATTTCAATTTACCAATTTCTCAATATTGGCCCGGTAATGACAACGGTAAATTTTTCAATTAAAAGAATCAGGGCTTCGCTAGTTTAGGTTATGTGGCAATTTTCACCCCAAATCAAAACCTGTAACATCGTCGTTTGAACTCAGCATGAACGAAACTCATAGTAGAAAATCATATACGAAAGAATGTTGTAATTTTGACAACAAACGCCGTTGATCATCAGGGTTCTTAAGATAAAATATTCAAATGGTGTTTTATTCATTTTACACGGTGAGCTGTGGAAAGTTAACGGGAGAGCTTGTAATAGCTTGTGGCCCGATACCATAACTACGTGCAAGTTATCAGTGGCATATTTGTGCACTTTCTGTGCATTCATTTTAGTGGCCAACTGATACCTTAAAATATATAGAAAAAATTAGACAAATTTCTCTTGAAAATTTCAATCTAATATAATGTATAAGCGTCGGTTATGTATATACGCATGAATGCAATGTATACGCATGTATGCACTAATTCAGTAGGCACTAATTCTTGCAAAGCAATTCAAAAGCAGTTTTGTTGTCAGAATAATTGTTTACGCTAAGAAACGGAGAGGAAATCAATCCATGGAAATTTTGATGATATACGAATATATTGACGAATGACGACGCACAAAACCAATATAACTTTCTGAGGCGCATGTTTCAGCGACGGTTCAGATATTTGTAAAGTAATTCTTTTGATAAATGCGGGATTAATGGAATGCATTGATAAATAAATGACGCAATCGAGGAAACTATTCCAGAATTATGATTGGGACAGTTGCGCAGGCGAGTTCAGAGAAGTGTCGATCCAGTGAACAGCTCTGAAGTATAACAGCTCTCAACCTGCTACAGACGTCCACACTGTTTATAAACGTTTTTGATTATAAAACTATTCCCTACGAGAAATTCGTTTTGTTGATATCAGAGCTACAATGAATTCTTGGCCGTGATTTGTGATACTTTGGTGCTGGTGCGAGTTCAATTTTCAGAAGCTGGGCACTGAGAAATGTTTACGCAAGTAGAGTTATATAACTTATATTGCAATAAGTTATAAATATTATATTATAAATTCTATATTTATATTCAATTTATTAATTTAGTCTATTTATCACAGCATATTCTGAGGCATGGCTGCTGATATTAACACCAAATAATTGATCTTGCAAGCAACAATACTTCACTAGCTTTTTATTACGCTCTTTCGCTACCCTTACCTGCGATGGACGCAGGCTTTGCTACAAAACTATTACTTTCTGCCAGAAATTGTATCACTAATCCAGCGGATGAGTTGGCATCAACGTGCATTAATTATTCTAACAATGCATTTACCAGATCTTATTGAAAATCAGTAAACGATCTTACACTTTTGTTTTTTGGTGGGATTTAACGTGAGTTCGGCGACACTTAACTTATTGATTCCTCGTTGGAATATCTAATTCAGGCATTGCCCTGAAATTTTTGATTAGTTACTCTAGAAAAATTTGCTTGTTGTCAGTCGTCTTGGTACGAGTGCACAAAAATCCAGCTAAGTGGCTTTAAATATTATAATAAATCGTAGTAAAATTTTGGAGTGAGAAGCGCTTTGTATAGCGAAATATGTGTCAGAAGAGGTGCAGTGCTTGCTCGTTACGGCGCTGGAAAGCATCGAGCTATGCATTATTAAAGCAACATCATAGACAGACAGCAGTAACGTGAACCAGATTGTATTTTATAGAAGCGAACAAAAGTTCAAACCAGATAAAAAATGAACAAGAGAATTCACATACGGGAACAGACACAGCAATCTGCAGAAGACACCGCACTTTTGGTTGAATTAATATGAAGTTGACCCATGAAAAGCTCATTTTTGCGGTTGCAGTTCGTTGTTCGCCCGTTACGTCACTGATCTCAGTGACGTCACGGGCATTAACCAATCACTGAAATGCGATCAAACCAATCAACCAATCCGTCATGGGAATGACGGGATTGTTTAAGTTTCTGGCTCTCTGTGACGTAACAAAAAAGCTGAACTGGAAGACGGAAATCCTCGTGGGTCAACCTTCCGGGTGGCCCNAAGAATAGGCGACAGGCCTACGGCCTAATAAAAGCTGAAACCGCTATTATATAGTTCAACCATGACCGCACTGGCAGTCCACTGGCAGCGGGACTTCAGATATGCTCAGTACCAGTGAATTAGTAAGATTACTCGCCTTAGCAGTTAATTCAAATTATATTTTATCAAACTTCAATCTGTTAAAGTTACTCATTATTTATAATATTCTATTGTTTTATCAAAACTGTAGAAAATGGATTACACCCTCTCTGTACTCCACTGTAGTGTACTCCTCTGTACGTGTGTAGATTGAAGAACACCAGACGTGTTCTGAGTTCATCGCGCGATGGATCTTGGGTCAGAAAAATCAATTAGCGCTTTTTTGAAACCCGCGAAGTATAGCCGATAAAGAACATTGCACATTTATGTGCTAAAATGCTTTACTAAGAACTAAGCTTGGGTCTATTCCTAGTCTCGATCGGACCTATTCCTAGTCTCGCGATCTCTTCCAAGTCTCGCAATCGGAAATTAATAATAATAAGGTAGCATTATCAGCATTAAACGAGTAGGAAGTAGGAGAATGATATCCTACGTCTTCCTGACGTAGGAGAATGATCTCGAAGATAATCAAGAATGATCTCTGATACGTAAGAACCTACGAAAAATACAGAAATTAAGGGGAAAATTCAAAGCAGAGAATTAACTGCATTTCAAGTCTGTGGTCCAGTATGCAGGTCAAAATAGTAAGGCATCAGTTAAATCATTATATTTATTGCATATACAATATACTTTGGGTGCTACCGTTGTGTTATATGGCAAAAATGACATAGCGTTGTAAACAAGGAACTATTCTATTAGTCATTTGTATATCACAGCATTAATATAGCGCAGAGAATGAGTTCAATAAAAAATATTGAATCTTGTGGAGATAAAAGATAATGTGTAGATAAAGATACGTCATGAGTCGTAGCTGAAGATACGTAATGTATTGTAGATAAAGATAAATATGATGGCTTTTCACAAAATGACTTTGACTTACTTCAACAAGACTTAAATAATGAAAACAATTATATTATACATATTATATTGATTGGTATTTAGCAATTTTCAATATCAATTGATTATTGATTATATATCTATATATCAACTTCCAAAATCAAATAAGATTATAGTTAATCACTCAACCATAGCACGTTAATCTTACGACATTCAAGATATTTCCCAAAAGCCATTCTTCGTTAAAAGTTTTCACTAAAAATTAAAGTATTTACTTCGAGCAACTCGATGTTGCACATAAATTAGAAGAAACTTCATCTTATTTGAGGCACTTTATTACCTGTCTCTTATACACATCTAGATGTGTATAAGAGACAGATTTTACACGGTGAGCTGTGGAAAGTTAACGGGAGAGCTTGTAAT